TTACCTATATTTATATTACTTCATATTTTCTCAGTTTTCATTATTTTTTCCCCATTTTACCCCTAAGGATATTATTAGAGAATCTATGTTAGTTTTTTCCTTTAAGGTTTTTATTTTTTAGAAAGAGCATTTGCATTAAACCGTGATTAGTTATGAATTTTCTCTAGTCTTTTAATATTTTGCTGCTTATTCCCATGTGGCAGGCTTGGAATTCAGTGAAACTGTGATAAAACAACACTGGTGGTGGTCGTAAAGGAGGAAATGTAATAGTGAAGCTGGCCCCACAGTGCTTGTCGTCTGTGGGCTAGTTTCAAACAAGGTAAAAAAACAAAACAAAACAAAACCCAAAACAACAACAGCAGCACTGGTTATAAATCCTTCAAGATAGGGAAAGGGCCATTGAAAATCTATTCTGTACCCACTTTGCCCACGATCCTTGTAACATTTAAAAGTCACCTGTTTTACGATCAAGTATTTTTTACCTCTGGTGTCTGAATAATCCTTGTGCATATTGTATCTTTGTTTTTTAAAAAGAAGCAAGGAATTAGGCTGGTCTCTTGCTGTTTTACAAAGTGATTTCCTCCCAGAATAGAATGTTTGGGGGAGATAACAGTTTTCAACCTCAAAGCTATATATTTCAGTCAGAGACTTAAAGTCTGGGTCACTAGATACGAGCAGCATGATAAAGATGGCTTTCTCTAGTCACAGTCGGAGGAAAAGATAACACTGGCCTTAAATTAGACTGAGGGATACACTTCAGACCAATTTTTAAAGACTCGGTAACACGTCATTCCAAGCTTGACACCTTCTGTTGCTGAAAAGTCCCCTTTAATATTTCAGTGAGACACTTGAAATCCTTTGAGGCCGTGGGTGATCGGGAGTTGGTTCACTCCTCACTAACCATGCGCTGCAAAAACGAGCAAACAACCAGTGCCCGGTGTCAGGCGGACCAGCATGTGGCCCGCACTTCCCTTTCTTCCAGATGGTCGTGCAGGCCAGCCAGGTGGGCCGCTGCCAGCACCTTCTGATCGCTGTTGGAAATGCACCAAACATCATACATCAGAAGATCTAAGAAGCAGACTGCTCTCCATTGTTCAAGTTCTATTCACATTCACATTCACATTCCCTTAAGGACCATATCTCTTTTTGCCTGTCTACATATATTATTTCTGCTTTTTTTATTCCTTGAAAGGCTCAGTAATCCTTTTTGGGGGGGGGGGTGGATAATGTGTTGGCTTAAATAGATTTTTAAAAAAATATATATTTTATTGATTTTTTACAGAGAACAGAGAGGGGGTATAG